CTGCACCACTCAGGGCTCTGTGTCCCGACCCCGGGAGGGCACCACAGCCGCCACCCCGCGGGCCCCAAGCTCCAAGCCACTGACACTGGTTCCGCACGAGCTGAAGGGGGCGGGCCACAGGTCGGAGGGCGAGGAAGCACTGAGCATGGTGTGAGCAGACCCGGGGTCAGGCGCCCACTGGAGCACCCCATGGCACCCATGGCAAGGGGTCTGCGGCCCTAGCGTGCAGGCCAGCTGAACCTGGATTCCTGAGGACGGGGCCGGGGAGTGTGATACATTTCTTAATGGGCTAAAGAAGAACTGCTGAAGGCCTGAAAAATCCATTTGCTGTTTGAATCCTGCCAGCGATTGGGTGCACTTGGCCTCTTAAGCTGGCTTCTTTAATACCACGGGGTTTTCACCCTTGGTGAGTTCTCTTTTTTGACTTTAAAAGGTTAAGCCCAAATCTACCTCCTTGTGAGTTCAGCCCACCTGATCTAATTTTGCCTCCAGGGGCTCCCAATGCCCCAGCCCCAGCTGGAGGCACTTCTACACCCCCTTCTACACAGTAACCACTTGGACATCTGAAGCCAGCTGCCCCATCTTAACTCAGATCAAAACTCAGCAATTCCTCACAATCAAGCTCAATGCTCGATTTCTGTAACTTCTACAAGGTGACCCATCCCACTGTGCGCGTAAGGCTGCATTCATTCCACGCGCCCAAGGCCATGCCCGGTTCACACAGATGGCGGCTAAGCCAGGTTTCCTCAGTTTGGCGCCCTTGCAGTTGGATGTTTTGAACCGCAGGGGGCCCTGTCGTTTTCACCCATCACCTTTCATCTCCCGGATGCGGCAGGACGCTGACTGTAGAGACGTGCAGTATCGATTCTGCCATTCAGCACATCCGCTCTCCCTGATGACTCCGTGTCATCTGCACATTTGGTAAGCATGCCTCTGATGTCTTTATCAAGCTACGGGTTCTACCGCTCGGCAAGCCGGGGGGCAGCAGCCCACCAGGGCCCTTCCTGGGAGGGCACAGAACCGTTCCCTCTCCCACAGGCTGGGGCACCTGGTGCTCCGTCAGCTGCAAGTCCTCCTGCCTCCCCGAGATTTTCCAGACCTTGGTACTGGCAGAAGCTGAAATTTCTTGTCCTGGCAGAATCACATATGAGGGCTAGGGTGGGGGCTGCCCAGGCTGAAGGGGGAAGGAAGGTGCTTGCTCTGTCTGCACCCATTCCGAGGCAGCAGCAGAGAAGGGTCAGAAGGGCCGGGACCCAGGGACACCAGTGTTTGCTCACACATGCCAGGCTGACCCGAAAAACTGAGGCCGGCCCGGGAAACGGGTGGGAACGTAGGATCATGCCCGCGGCCCATGTTCAGGCCCACCCTGCTGGTCAAGGTTTGTGAAGCAGATGGCAGAGGACTGGGCAGCACTGCCCAGGGAGAAACAGAGGCTCCGGGCCCCCAGGGTAGAAGTGGCACGCCCTTCCTCACGTGGGTAAAACTGTCAAGAAACGCGTGGAGAGATGTGCATGTGAGAGAAAGATTTGCTGGACGAGGAGCTCTGCCAACACACCTTATCCTGGATCTTGCCATGAACTTCAAACACTCTGCCCATTTGCCAGATACAGCCGAGGGGCCTGCCCATCCTGAAAGGACACCACCATGTCTGGCCCTGCAGCTGGCATCCTCTGGAACAACAGGGAGGAAATGGGCAGGAAGCACGCATCCCGGGGGGCAGCACCTGCCTCTGGAAGAAGGCAGTCCTGCCAGGACCTCGAGGTCCTCAGGTGGTGACCCAACATCTTGCCAACTACCCCTTTGGACTGAAATCAACGGGGGGGTGACTGCTCTCCAAAAAATGATGGGAAATTGACACACGAGTTAACAACAAAAGAAATGAACGCAGAGAGCACGCTTTTGGCTCCTGTGATATAAACTCAAGGTCACGGAGGCAACAAGGTCTGCTACTGGCCCCCCCTGGCTTCCTTCCCACCCCCAGGGAAAGGAGAAATTTGGGAAAATGGCCCACCACCCTTGCATCCAACAGCCTGCTCGTCCTCCAGCCTCCTCCACACTTGGTCGGTAGAGGGCGCTGCCTCACCGCGCTCTCACGGCAGCCCCGGCTTTGCAACTCGATCCCTGCGTCCACACAAAGAGCACAGCTGAGGTATTGATTGTGCTTTCACATGAGAAAGCAGCAGCGAAACACAGCCTTGCTTTTTTGTGATATGATAGCACCTATGTAAAAAGTACACAGGAAAACGACTTGAAAGAAATATAGCCAAAGGTAATGAACCTTTGCTTACTGGAGATGGAATTTCTTTTTTTCCTTTCATTATTTTCTATGCTGTTTTCTACCAGCCTGTCTTCCTCTCAGTCAGAAAAGCCTGAGGAGTCTTCAGGGGCTCACGAGTCATCTGCGGGTGGGGCTGGGGAGGCTGCAGCATGGGGTCCTAGGCTGTTGGGGAGGCATTTCTTGCATAACTAAACGCGTCTGAACCTGGGCGGAGCTCAGGGAGGTAACGGGCACTAGAAACAGTCCCCGCCTTCCAAGAGTTTACAACATGATCACAAAGTGAAGGGGTAACGGCTGAGAAGGCTCCAAGGGCAGAGCCTGGCACAGGGCATTCAGGGAAGGCTGCCTGCAAGAGGCAGTATTTGAACTGACATCCGAGGCAGGGAATGGGAGACATATTGGTCGCACAAGTGTCCACATGAACAAAGACACAGAAGCACAAAATAGGAAAGGGAAAACAGGCTGCTGGTTCCAAGTTGGAGGCTTTGGGACAAGAGAGAGAAGACCCATTCCTGGGAACCAGGCACAGAGGCCTCCATCCTACAGGCCCCCTGCAGGCCCTCAGTGGGAACACAAGCGTCACCCACAGCCCTCCACAAGAGAGAAAGCTGCCAGGTTCCTCTGCTGGACACATCACGGGATCTGAAGCTGCACGGAATAACACACTCATCACTTCACAAATCTTCAGTGGGTAATCTGAATTATCAGCATTTCATTTTTTAAAAAAAAATCAAACACATGCAATAGGAAAACAATACAAAAACTGAAGAACATAAAAAAAAACCCTGTTGAATTAGGAGGCCCATAGGTGTGTGGGCCACCTGTAAATGACTGCACAGTCAGAGGAGGGCTTAGGGACAGACAAGGGAAGTGTTAACGTAATATTCAATTATCCTACTGCACCCTGGCTGACTTAACTCAGTCAAATTAGAATACATTTTATATTGACTATTTTGACATTTGCTTTATTTGGCAAGTAAAAATGAAACTGATCCAATTTTCTTGCAGCCATTGTAAACCATAAACTGAACAACAAGAGGTTATAAAATACACAAGCCTTATAAGGCTCCTCCTGATGTGCTACCTCCAGTTCTGCAGGACTCTCGGTGGCCTGTGTTCCTGCGTCCCCGGCTTCAGTTCCCAGTGACTGTACTCCTGTGCTGACTGGCTAGCTTCTGGGCAGGGGGAAGGGTGCTCCTCCTGCCTTAACTGGAGCTCTTTATCTCACAAAAAGTTAAACCTGCCCAGAGGTGGCGCCTATTTCTAGGCCCTTCCAGACCATATGACGTCAATAGGTGTAACCTCTCCGAGGCGATGGGTCTGAGCCGACCCCGAGCACATGTGATGTGTCCGAGCCAACCCCGGGCACAGATGATGGGCCCGAGTTGACCCAGGGCACAGGTGATGGGCCTGAGCCGACCCCGGGCACAGGTGATGGGCCTGAGCCGACCCTGGGCACAGGTGACAGTGATCACAGCTGTGACGGTGCTTGGGGCAGTGAGAGAGGAACTCCAAAGGGCTGACCTGAGCTGCGTGAGCCTCGTACTCCTAAACCAAAGACCCAACTCTGGGAAGCTGTTCACCTCTCTTAACGCCAAAGTGAAGATAAAAAGTACTTCTCAAGTTTCAGGCTATGCCAGGGGTTGTTAGGATTAACCACCACTCTCAGTTTGTGAACCTGTCTCAAGCGAGAAACACCTGACTGTCGCCTGGAAAAGTCCCGAGGGACAGGCCTCCAAGCTGCCAGCTCCTGAAAGCTCGTTCCCCCAAAGGCAGGGAAAGCTCAGCGGAGAACAGGACGCGGGTGACCAGCAATGCCACCCTCTCTTCTGACTTGCGGGGCGCAGGGTGTGGGCCTTGGGGCATGTGGAGGGGCAAGCGCCCGGTAACAGCTCTGTCCTGTTCCTGCCCGACTCTGTCACCTGTTTGCCCATGTGGAAGCCCTGAGGTCCCTTCTTGTTAATGTTCCATCCACCTCCAATGGCACTGCCTCGCCACTTCTCACTCGCTTACTTTTGTGACTCCTTTCTCAAGTTCAGTGTATCGCTGCTGTTTGCTCCTTGTCCTCAAATAATTTACCGATAACAAGGCAGAGGTTTTTGATCAGATAGAAAGTGTTGAGACGACTACTCAGGTAATCTGTTATTACCAGATTTCTGCTCCGACAGAAATCACGTTAAATCAGGTGCAGAGAGCAGTCCGCTCAGCCAAGTTTCTTTGTGGAAACAACTATTAAAATGAACAGCCCTTGAAAAACTTCTCGCTATTCTCTCATACTCAAACTACCTATTTCTTAGCCTGCAGCTCTTTGGGAAAAGAAACAATATGGAAATGAACAAAATTACTTACCAACTCTCCCAGAGTTAAACGAGTTGCTGGCCAAGGCAGAGAAGGAACTCCACCTTTTACGGGTGGCCTTCCCAACTGCGTGGCTACAGATCACGTGACTGTGTGCAGCCATGAGCTCTTTAGAATAATAAGCTCCATTTTAAGTTGCATATTCTGCTATTTTAGAAGCCTGCAGAATATGCACAACAGAACACAGAATGGCTTTTACATTCATGTAGTGTGAAGATTTCTAACGGGTTTTGCAAAATCCCCTCTAAAGGTATATTACTCCTGCAGTGTTTCCGCAGATCCTAAGTGGAGGTGTTTCAGAAGTTACGCAGTGGGACCCAAGACCACATGACTCTGGGACATGCACAACAGGACAGTGCCTCACCTGGGAAGGCTGGGGGCTGGGGTGGAAGCAGTGGATGACGGGGAAGGCGTTGTGGGCTGAGACGCATCATGACTTCGTGGTACTCGGCCCATTCGGTACCAGATTCCCATGCTGTTCAGTTCCCTTTAAGAGAAAAGAAAATTCTTCATGGAGGCGGTTTAGCATAAAATGACCTGAGCAACAAAGCAGACTGCCTCATTTCAGAGGGTCATGGCCTCAGACCTCAGGGAGTCGATTCTGGCCCATGAAGGTGTCACGGTTCAGAGCCTGAGGTGACGGCAACTGTCCGAACCCGGTAGGCCTGTTGGGTGGTGGTCATCTTCCTCCATCCTGGGGCCTGCCGTCCTACATATATGCTGTCAACGTGTTCTCGGTTCTGGGTCTGCAAACTTCTTTTTACTCTTGTCATTTCATTGAGGGTATTTGTGCCATAATCCATTTCAAGAGGGCAGACCGCCTGTGCCTGGTGTTGAACTGTCCGGAGAACGGGCCCCATGCAGTTCCAGGCCCTGCCCCTCCTCCAGGATAAGGCCCCTCACTGCCTGTCATTCTCAGGGTCTGTCTGGGAGACATCTTTGCACCACAAAGTGCCAGGCATGTGCCCCATGAACCACCACAACTGAGGGTGGTGATGGAGGGGCTGACAGCTGCCACATCCGGCTTCCTGTTACTTGACCGGCACACCCGCCAGCCCCGCCCCATACCCCACAGTCAAGTGCCCATGAGACAGGTTTACTCTTTGGAATTGTAATCGGATTATCTCAGCCACATCCAACTTCTAACTTCTCAGCTGCCCCATAGATCTGCATCTTGGGATGCAGAGGAAGGTCACCTCTCCAAAAAATGAGGACAGATTTGCTCAGTTGATTCCTCTGGCAGCTTCTCCGTATCAGTACACTGCAGGAACTAATCTCAAATCTCAACCAGTCGTGTCTTATTAGGTGATTGATTCTTATCAGCTGCACTGACTCTGCCACCTCTTGGTCACGGCCATAGTCAGGCCTTGGAGGAGCTGCTCCTCGTCTGAAGATTCTGTCCCTCACAGCTGACAACCCCAAACCTTTGCAAAGTAACCTGTAGGGCTATGCCCATTTTTAAGAAAAAGGGACTTAAGAGTTCTGAACACTGAAATCTCTTTCCTTACAAATAACACTGGAATTATATTTCTCTGGAAAAGAATTTTTGCCCCAAGATGAAACAAAAATATACTTTATTTAGCAATCTTCTCAAAATGATATAAGAAAAGGATTCTAGTTTTGATTACCAAGACATAAATGGTAAGAATCTATTCTTTAGAATTGCTTAAATTGGTTAAAAATTGAATCTTTGAAAGGAGTATAGGGTGTAATTTTAAAAACCTGAATACACATAGTAACTGAATATACATAATAGATGTAGCAATTATTAAATTGTTGGTTTCTACTATTTGTATGTAAGTGGCTGTTTCTAAGATACCTGAAGTATGGTTATTTTCTTAACTGTTTTCTACTCTAGTAATCTTGTTTACATAATGAGTTTAAACCATGTTGCACAATGGGAGTTTTGAGTGTGTAGAAAGGGTGTGATCACAGAGTCCTTCTTAGGGACCTCAAAATCTCAGAGAAGAGCATTCAGATTCTATAGGGGAAGAGTCAAACAAGCTGTTGTGCACCAAGATGAAAATAAACTCTATTTCTGTGACACTTGCTCCCCAAGTGCTTCAAGCAAACACTACAGCTGGCTATATCTATCTATCCATCTTTGTATCTATCTATCTTGCAGCCTTCAAGGAAAGGCCATGGCCTTTCAAGTAAAGAGGAGGGTTTAGGCTCAAATGAGCAAGATCCAGGAAGTTGACCTCCAAAGTCAAGTAAGAGAACGCATCCCTGGGGACCCACAGGGACAGGCAAGAAGCTTGCAAAGCCAGCCAGGGAGATGGCACGTGGCCAAGAGGCCAAAAACCATCTACCACACTGTTAATCTGAGAGACCTGAATTTCAGTGGCCTGACGGGTGAACATCTGTTATCTTTTGGATAGCCAGCACCCCTTCATCCCCCTTCTGACTCTCTACCTCGCCTCTGCACTTGGGGAGCAGACACCCCTCATTCCTAGTCACCCCCATTTCTTCACCAGCTGAAATGGTCTCACCCATAGGTTTCTTGTCTGTTGCTCGCCTCTCCCTTTCTGAACACCAGCTCCATGGAAGCAGGCTCTTTGCCTCACTCACCGCCATATCCAGGGGCTTTGGCCCTGTGCACCAAATGGGATGCTCCCTAAACTGTGATGGGGCGAATAAACCGCGGGGAGAGTCGAGGCCCAGTGGTCGGAAAGGAGGCAGCCCCTTGGCTCAAGGCATCTGGAAAGACCCCTGAGAGCCTGAGGATGAACACACAGGAGGAGGGGGGAAGGGGAGCCCCCTAGATGGAGCAGGCAGCGTGAACACGGGAGGAGAGGTCAGGAGGGTGGTGTCCTGGACTGGCTGTTATCTGGGCAGGAAGGGCAGCGAAAAGCGCTGACTGGAGGCCCACGAGAGGTAGGTGGCCGAGAGGCTGCGGGTCACACAGGTCTCCGGACCTGGCCCCTGGGAAGGACCTGAGCACGCTCGGCAGACAGCAGTGACGAGCCTGGCCTTGCTGAGACTTACCCGATGAACGTGTACTGAGGTGGGGCCTGCTTGGTCCGGCCCATGATCCGAATGTCACAAATGGCCGCTTCGGTTGAATCCCGCGGGATAAATTTAATGCACAGCCTCTTCTTCCTAAAAGCCACTTCCTCTGAAGGAAAGGACCACAAGAAAAGGCATGAGTCTTCCAGAGGTGCCCACATCTCTATTCTCAACACCATGCCTCCCGTCACGTTCCCTTCCCAGCGGTGGAAGTAACTGGTCGTCCAAGACGCCCGACAGAAAGGCTGGGGCGCCACCGCTCCGGCCCAGGGCAGGGTCGCAATGGATAGTCTCGGTCACTCTGCTCTGTGTTCGGGGCCTGATCCCCGACACCCACTGCTGGGAAGGGGCCTACGGAGCACACACACATCCCTGCCAGAAGGAGCCAGGGATAAATCCACGACTGCAACCTGCTCACTGCTCCAGCCCTCGGACACAAGCACACGGATGCCCCCAGCGTTAACACATTTCACTACATGGACCTTCTCCACTTTTTATTACAGAGATCTTCAAACATTCCCCCCAATAAAGAAAAGAAGAAATAAGCTGAATCCACGTGTTCCCATGAACCCAATTCAATACTGTCAACAATGGAGGAACCCTCTCGTCTCCTCCCCCGCCCTCTTCAGCTCTGCAGAGATTTAAAATGACTCCCCAGCACGATGTCATTTCACCCACCAATATCTCAGAAGGTATCCAGGGCAGGCTAATTTTTTCTTTTTTTTACCATAACCACTATGATGTTATTATTCTTAACAAACAATGATTCCTTAATATCATCAACTAGTCTGCATTCAGGTTTTCTCCAATACTGCAAAAATGTCATTTAGCTGTCGCTTTGTCTGGACCAAGATCCAGACACTGTCTGTGCATGGCGTTCGGTGGTTATGTCTCTGTCGTTCGGTGGTAACCTCTCCACCTTCCCTTCATCTTCAGGGCATCCACAGGATGGAGCGCTCAGGTCACCCGCTGTACCTCCTGTAACACAGCTGAGTGAAAGGCTCAATTCTACCCCGGTTAGACAGCAGAGGCAGGAGCACTCCACGGGTGGTGCACGTACATCTGATGGGTGACGGGATGGACGAAATGTGATGACACTCTCGGTGGCTTCTGGTGCCCTCAGCCCAGTGGCCTGGTTATAAAGTCCCTGACACCCTGCTCGAGGGTGGTCTTCTCATCCCCTGACAACCGTGCCTAGACCCGTAACTTCATTAAAGGTGTCAAACGGCAATTTTCTAACTCTGTCATTCCTTCTGCGTTTATTAGTTGGAATTTTTCTATATAAAAAAATCTTTCATTCTTCAACTACTTGGTCTCCCTGAAACAGGCTCTAGTACAGGAAAGGACAGACATATCTGTGATTCTTTTCTCTAATTTATCAAGTCTTAGGGCAATGAGTTGTGGCCTAACAACCACCAGGGGTGACCACTCACATGGTTTTGGTTTGTTCATGTGTGGTTTTTAAACCACACATGATGAGTTTCAATCAACGCAGCCATTCAGTACATGGGTCAGACAGATATGGGTTAAAATTCCAACTCCATCATTTTCCAGCACCCTCATCTCCGGCAAGGGACTTAACTTCTCTGAGCCTTGGTTTCATCATCTAAAAGGGAGTTAATGAAGCCTGACACTGTAGGGACACGGGGTGAATGAAATGTGATGACACATATGCTTCACTTAGCCTGGTGCCCGGCATGCAGTAAGTGCTCAGTAAAGAATAGTCGTGATCATTCTTATCATAATACTGTGAGGAAGCCTCGAGCACGCGATCTGTGTCAGTGCTTGGCACTGATTTTCAAGGCCTTTCAGTTTTGTTGCAGGAAATAAGCTTATTTACATCGGAGAGCAAGACACAAGAGGGAAGCACTGTGTTGCTGCTAGTCTTGATTTTACCAAGGGAAGATGAGACTCAGGTGCTGATGTTTTGGGATTACCAGAAGAAAACTCAGAAACTTTGTGAGTTCTTTTCCTAGGAGAGGAAACCAAGCGCTTGATCAGACGTACGAGCTCTGAGTAATAAAACTGGATACTGAATCTAGACCCTGAACACGGGATCCAATAAGCCAGGAAGGGTTACTGCGGAGAGACTGTCCACAGCAACCCTGCAGCTTTAAAAACTATTAGCCAATAACTCAGGCCTTTCAACGTGTGAAGGAGGTGAGACCTTTCCTCAAAGTAAACCAAGATGCAGGTATTTTATGTACTTGCTTTGCCAGCTGCTCTTTGCCCCATTCTTCCATTTACAGCAAACTCGAGGTAAGAGATGGAGTTGCTAATTACACATGCTTAAACAGGCCTGACTTTAAGTAAACATATTATACAGAGTCAATAGAAATGTGTTCAGTCATGCTAATGAACACAGAGAAAGGACACAGCACTTTACTAAAACAAACAGTCTTCCAGTTTTTAAGTGCCTTATGGATTGCAACAAAACGTATTTTAAATTAATTACAGGAGTCTCATCTTGCTGGCTGATTTTTAAAAAAAGTCAGGATCTTAAATGCTCTCAAATGTCCCAGAGCTGACCACAGATTGGATGACCCTAAATGAATAGGTGACTCTACAGTCACCCTTCCTTGTGGGACACGACACCTGTTGGAGATGCCAGAACCCAACCTCAGACTGTCCATGTGGGTAGTGACCAACACACCCCCAGTCACTGGGGCGACTTCCCAGGATCACGTGGCTGTACAGTAGCTAGACCAGGACTCAGTCGGGCCTCCTCGCTCAACGGATTCAACAAATTGAGAGGAAAATGCAGAACAAGAAATCCCTTGACTCTACAGTAAATCAATATAGAGACATTTTAAGGCACTTAGTTGTCAAAAACAAACAACAATGCAAATTTTAAAACTAAGAAAAACATAGGGAGAAGTAGGAAATTAATGCAAGCCTACAAGTCAATTTTAGTTTTTAAGCAGACCATTCATATAAGCAAAAAGAGCAAGCAAAAACTTGTGAAGATGTTCAGTATTGCTAATAAATAATAAGTAAAAATTAAATAAAATGAGAACAGTAAAGCTAAATTAAAAATATAAAGCAGGCCTGTGGAAAACAGGTACAAGCCGGTATCATCAGGGGCAACGTGAACTGGTGTTTCTGGAAGTTAATTTGACAGCAGAGTGTAATAAAGCCTATCTTTACTGAGCTCATCCTCTGAGCTGGGTATGGCAGTTACCTTATGTGATTCAAAGATGAATTAAACATAGATCTCAAAACAACAACAAAAAAAAACCCCCACAGATCTTGCCCTTCAAGAAAGAGATAAGTAGCAAAGACATAAAGAAAACATGTAAATGGCTATAATGTAAGCTAAGAACAACATTATGAGGTGGACAGTGCTGCCCCATTTTACAGATGAGGAAACTGAGGCCCAGGAAGGTGAAGTCATTTGCCAAGGGTCCCTCATTTGTAAGTGGCAGAGCCAGACTCCACATTAGGTGAGACTGACTCCAGAGTCCAAGTTCCTCCCACTACGCCAAGTGCAGTCTGTGCTAACAGAGGGAATGACGGGCATTCAGAACCAGAACACTATGGGCTTTCCACCACTGTCCTTCACATTTGCCTACTTTCCTCCCCCCCTTCAACAAACACGTGCTGTGTCAAGCAGCTGAAGAGTAGTAAAGAAAGCAGACTTGACTCCTGACCAACTGATTACAGTCACTCTCTGGACTAAGCCCCTGTGGGTCCTTTTCCTAGGGCCATCTCTGTATCCCAAAGCCAAGTCTGCAGAGCCTGCAGGAGACACGCACCCACGGCAGCTGACTGAGGAGAGAAGAGAGCCTGCTTTACACTTGCATCTAGAGATCAGAGCTCACCCTACAAAGACATGAGGTGTGACATTCGGAACTGAGGGAAAGGGCATCTCAGGCAGGGAAAACAACAAAGCAGATCCGTGGAATCAGAAAAGCAAGGAGCACAAATGGACTTCCCTCACAGTCCAGTGGTTAAAAATCTGCCTGCCAACACAGTTGGGCATGGGTTCAATCCCTGGTCTGGGAAGATTCCACAGGTCGCAGAACAACTAAGCCCGTGTGTGCGCGACAGCCTGGAACTGCAACTGCGGAACCCACGAGCCACAACCCCTGAAGCCCACGTGCCCTAGAACCTGCGCCCTGCAACAAGAGAAGCCACCACAACTAGAGAAAGCCTATGAGCTGCAACAAAGACCCAGCACGACCATAAATAAACAGACAGAAGGGAGCATTTTAAAAGGAACAAAAGGAAGAGAGATGCACAAAAGGGCACAGTGAGTGGCTTGGTCCGGGTCAAGCACTGGTGCTTAAGGATGAGAAAGATGCTCACAGAGGAAGGTCAGGGGCAGACGTAGAGGACCCAGGACCCAGTAACCTCAAGTACTTGTAAACTTGTCACAAGAAAATCATTCAAAATCTATACATACTCAAACTGACCTACAGATTCAACGCCATTCCTTATCAAAATCCCAGATAGTTTCTTTGCAGAAATTGACTAATTTTAGAATTGGTGTGGAAGTTTGAGGGACCCAGAATAGCCAAAATAGCTTGAAAAAGAAGAACAAAGGTGGAGGATTCTTGGTTTCAAAACCTGCTACAAAACTCCAATAATCAAGACTGTGGTTTGGCCTAAGACCTACAGATCACAGGAAGAGAACTCAGAGTCTAGAAACAAACCTTCACATTTACAGTCAACTGATATTCAGCAAGGATACTAAGACAATTCAGTGAGGGAAAGGATAGTCTTCTCAACAAATGATTCTGGAAAAAAGAATAAATCTGTTGTATATCAACTATACTTCAACAAAAATATATTTTTTAAAAGAATAAATCTGAACTTCTATCTTGAACTATTCACAAGCATTTGAACGCCTATCTTGAACAATTCACAAGCATTAACTCAAAATGGATCAAAGACCTAAGTGAAGGAGATAAAACTATAAAACTCTTAGAAGAAAACATTGGCATAAATCTTGGTGACCTTGGATTTGCAATGGTTTCTTAGGCATGACTCCAAAAGCATGAACAACAACAACAAAATAATACATAAATGGAACATCATCAAAATAAAAAACTTTTCTGTTTCAAAGGACAGTATTAAGAAAATGAAATGAATGTATGTCAACTATAC